CCTTTCCCACCCATATGACATGGAAAATATTTTTACACCAGCCTACAAAGAGATTAGAAGTGGGAAGCAGAGGTAAAAGGCTGCTTGGCTACAGTAAAGGTAAGATTCACTGAAAATAGGATGAAGCACAAAAAGTTGTCAGTTTTAAAATGACCTAAGAGGATATTCTACCAACCAGAAAAACCTAAGAAGAGAACTTATCTGAATTCTGTCTGTATAAAATTACTTTGACAGTTATTAAAAAGCACATAATCACTAATTTCCAGAAAAATATGAATATTTTCTAAAAATAGGTCAGTGCTTTTAACTGCTGAGATCTGCTCTGGTTTAACTACTAGTAGCATTGTATCCTAGAAGCAGGAAAGGCTCTAGAGAGATTACTTTCACTTTTCCCTAGATATATTTAGTGTACTAACTAGCATAGTTAGGATATTATTTTTCTTTGGTTTTGTCAGTAGCATGTTTGAAATAAATTTTATTAAGTGGTAGTGTATGTAACATTGCATTGTGGGTAGCAGTTTCCTGCCTTAACCTAGCCACATCCTCAGCTGTTATATGAGACAAGTTTCCCATATTTTCTGCAAGTTGACTTTAAAAAAAAAAAAAGGAAAAAAATACAGACAGGAGAAAATAACTAGGAGGTTAGGATGATCTTAAGCACCATATATTGACTGTTTAGAATGGATGCATCTAATCAAAAGGACATTTTTCTCAGTTCCTACACAGTCTACAAGATACAGGAACACAAGGAGAGTTAAGCTTGTTAAAAAAAAAAGTCTGAGCAGGAAGAATCAAGATCAGACACATCAGACCATTAAGATGCAGACCCTTATTCAAAGCCTGATCAGGGGTTAGATTATTTATTTTACTGGAGAATAACTTGGCTACGCTATGAAGAAGTGAGAGAAGTGGCAACTCAAAGTGAATGAAAACAATTTTTGACTACTTGCTATTCCATGATGTACTCACTGGTTATGAGATGATCATCTTTTTAATTTAAAAAACAGTTCAGTTTAAGTTTTAATGTGATCTTCAGTAGCCTGACTGCACTGTAAAAAAAACAGACAACACTTGTTTATCACAGAAAGGTAACAGTACTTTTCCCTCCCCCACCTTAGTGGCTGCTTCAGGCACCATCCACTTCAAACCATATCTTACCTAGAAAAAGGTTCTGAGGCAGAGACAGGCAGCAGTAACACTCAGATGCTCACTGCTACTCTTGCAATAAATACCATTTTAAAATGAAGGAATGTTGAAATAACCTTGCTGTTGCTATTTTTTTAATCTACAGGCAGTTCTAGTCTTTGCTTTAAAAGGTTAGCATAAAATAGTATCAATGTACTCTACTGTTGCAGAGATGATGGAAATAAGAAGTCTACAAAACACCCAGGTCCAACAAAAGAAATCTCCCAAAACGTGCAAGTATTTGAAAACATACCGTATTTTAAATGTACTGGCTGTGAACCTAGAGAAACCACAGTTTTCTTCTTCTAAAAATTATAATTACTCCTCAGTTTGAAAAACAGAGCCAAGGGAAGAGGTTTTACTTACAGAAAAAAACCCGCTCTTGTGGAAACAGACACGTTAACAACACCTACAGTGAATACCTGCATCTGAAGAAACTGCACCAGAACTTTCTGATTTATAAAAATCAGCATCTTGTTATTGTATATATCGTAAAACTTGTAAGTAAATACAATCTAGCAAGTTTGTCATCACACTGCTCTAAGCAGAGTCTTTATATCATTCCAGTTGTAGCATAGAAGCAAACATTAAAGTACAAATAAACTTTCAGCAGGGTATCACACTGTTTATACACTGAATGAACTTTTGAGTGACATAAGGCAAAATGTTTGGAAATAAAGCATAGTTTAAAAGTTCCAAAACATGTTTCAAGAACAGTGAAAGATGTAATTATCTTTTAGTGTTGCATTACAATTGACTTTTAGATTTCATTTGTCATCAAAGATCAAGCTCATAGTTTACCAGAGAAATTCCTTAGCATAATACTTCCTTTGTAAGTGTAATTGGGACTCAAAGCATCCCCTGTGGAACTTAGAAGTGAACTTCCATTATTGTAGATGTACCTTTTAAACAGGAGCCTGTCAAGCATTAGTCTACAATCAAGACACTGGTTTACACAGTGGATTTTCAGGACTCTTGCATCTGCATCATCAGAAATGCAAACTATACCAAAAGAAGCCACCAGTATCACAGGTATTTGGTCTCAAAGCTTGGCTTTATAATGTTTCTATACCAAAAAGACCTGTATTTTTAACAGTGACAGTTTTTACAAACTACATCTCAATTACTCAATTACAGTATATGGTTTTCTGTGTTTAATGGCTTCTGTTTTACTAGATGAAAATTTCTTTATAGTGTTCTTTATTTGAATGGGTGAAAAAGTAAAAAAAAATAAAATAAAATCTTAAAGGTATCAGATCAAAGCACAGTAACAAAGTTAAAGAATAACTCTGCATACACAAGTGAAAGCATGGAAAAACCATTCTGGAGAAAGCCTGAGAACAACATTTCAATGCAATAAATTTTTATACTCAGACTTCTGTAGGAAGCTCAATATTATAATATTAAATATAGGACTAAAAATAAAGTGCAGAGTTTTGAAAATCAAACAACTTTTCTCATATGAATAGAAGTAAGTATTTAAGGTCAAGACAACAGTTACCTATTTTAAAATATTGTGATTACCTGCCATCTAATAGAAGCTGATAAATACCTTGAATGTGTAACTGTAGTTGAAATCTCTGATCTTACAATTTAAGAATTCCCCAAATAAAAGGCAGGAACCTCCAAAAGCTTTTGCTGAATCACAAACTGATTAAAACTTCAATGCATACAAATATAATCTGTATATGAAAAGATTAGTACTCTTTCCACTATTTTTATACCCTCAAGATTTTTTCATATATGCACTTTAACCATACAGAGAAAATATAAATAAAAGCAATCCATGAATAGGAGAATTAAATATCACCCTTACTTTTAAGTGGAATTTTTTGTAGAATTTTTCATTTTATGGTAGAATTCTCTAAGTTTGGCAATATGTAATAACTCCCGAAGCACTGAACGAAGAACCATGCAATTTGCCTTACAATAATTTCTGTGAAAGAAGCTTTTATAAAGAAGGGTTTATGGCTTCTTTTATAATTATATAACAAAAATCGAAATGGTCTATTTTGTATTGAAAAGTCCTCTCTCATTTGTCCCATCCCCACAAAACAGAGAACCTGCTCTCCACTCACACTTCCAGTTACTCATATTATACCACTCCTGTCCAATTTCTAACTGAGAAAGCTCAGGACAAAGAGGACAACAAAAAAGGAGGGATGGCAGCATCAGAGAAGTATTTTATTGTACAAATAAAAGCCGAATGATATCTAGAAAATGTTTTACACGGTTCTTCTGTTCCCCCCAAAAAATGACCAAAAAAAATTTAAAAAAAGAAAAGAAAAACATTTAAATTCATTCAGCTAAAACTTAAAACTACAGTGCATTTGTGGTACAATCAGGATAATATGAAAAGTTCTAGATATAATGTCCAAAGAGGCAAAAAATGAGATACTTTCTCAAAGATGTTTCCAATTTTGTTCTGAATCTGAGTGAGCAAATCAAGACTACTAATACACACTGTCTGTGCACATTATTCCTTACTACACACAGCATTTTGCAATTTATTTCAAAGCCTCTATTATAAACAAAAAAATACTGCTTTTGTTAACCCACTCTGTACTGGTACAGTTAGGGCTTATGTTACACAATCAAAGTCAAAGTTACAATATGTTAAGTATATAATAAAATATCACACACACATGCACACAGATGATATTAAGTATTTGAATCTTACATATGCATCAAATTTATGTTTCATTTTAAAACTAAGTGTTAACATTAACTGGTGAATTAAGTTATTTATAGTCTTCCCAAAAGTTTAAGACTTTTCTATTTCCCTTAAACACCAGAACTATAATAAGGAATTAATGTAAGCACAACCAAAACCTCCAAACTCTCCCAGCTCACTCTGTTACACAACATCCACATTAAATCCTCCCAATGCCGGTGTTCCAAAGCATCACTCCCAGACTGCAGCACACAACCAGTTATGATATCCAAATGACATATTTTGCCCCAAATATAAAAGAAACATAATTACCCTTAATTTGCATCACATAAAACTGCCAAGTAGTTTTGAAAGCATGTAAAGCAAGGCAGACATGATTTAAGATTTGCAAAGGAATCCCCAGACTAACACTTCTGTGACAGCCAATTACAGTGAAAAATACAACCCCAACAAGCAGCCTGCTACTAGACCTTAGGAAAGGTAAAGTTTCTTACAATGAGTTACAGATTCACAAGTATAAGACGACAAGGAGAAAAAGTAAAACAGAAGGAATCCAGCCACCCAGCAAATATAAAGCAGACCCAAGATCGTGATACAATCCAAAGATGTAAATTATTGTAAATCATCACTGTTGTTCAGAATTTCACACAGCCACTTGTGCCAATTTTGCTCACTTTTCCACAGACACAATAATAAAGGAGGGAGAGGGAATGGGAGGAGAAAAAAAATAAGAAAAAAAAAAAAAAAGGAGGGGGAAGAAGAGTAGGGGGAACCTGAACTGAGTACAAATAAAGTTCTGCTGTCCATATGCTTTAACTGTACAGAAGTTTGGGCTCTTACAGCATTTTGTACTCTCTCCAAAGCCTCATGAGTCACAAAAATCAAAAAGCTAAGTCCTTCTGAATGCCAGGAAGGGCCTTACACGGGCCTTTTGTCAAAATACAAAAAAAAAAATTAAAAAATTAAAAAGGGAAAAAAAAAAAAAAGAAGAGAAAAAAAAAAAAGAGAGAAAGAAAAAGCCACAGTGTAGGCAGTCCTACTTGGAGTCCTCTGATGTCACAGCCACATGACTCGCTCGCTCCAGTAACAGTGCTTGCAAAAAAAAGGAGTTTTAAAGCTTTTGCTTTTTTGGATTGTGTGAATGCTTCATTCGCCTCACAAACAACCACAGAACCACAAGTGCGGTGCAAACTTTCTCCAGGAGGACAGAAAGGAGTCTCTGGTTTTTAAATGGTTAATCTCCGCAGGTCACTACCAGCCACTGAGACCAACAGAGTCAGTAAGTGCTCTCTAACCACAGTCTATGCAGTAATAGTAGGTCCTTCAAATATTTGCTCATTCTCTTTTTTTTTTGTTTTGTTGCCTGCCTTTTCACATGTTACCAGCACTACACAATTTTCTGACAGAGAAAAAACCAACTGTAGAGTCTATGCAATCCAGGGACACAGTAAAACTAAAACAAGGTTTGGCTATGGTTTGTGTTTTCAGTTTGAGGATCCAAGAAGTATTTACACCAGAAGGTGAAAGCTCTGCGTGAACGGAGAGGGACTATGGCATCAAACAGCCTGTTCAGTTCAGTGACACCATGTCAGCAAAACTTCTTTTGGGGTAAGTGCTGCAATATTTGAGCTTCGTTTTTCGCTGTCAAGAATTTTCTTACTTTGAACAATACTGGTTGTAGTTATCTACGCAAAAAAATGCCAAATGGGATGTTAGAATGTTAAAATAGTACACCTGGTTGTTTGGGGTTTTTTTCGGGGGGGTAAGAAACTGTAAATAACTTCTGCAGATTTAAGAACAAATTTATTAGCCGGCAAGCTGAGCAAAGGGAAGTTGGTGGCTTAGTCCTTAATGTTTGACAGCAGGTGTGCTCAGCTGTCACTGCGGTCAAGGTATAGCTGCATGAATTTGTAAGAGCCTGGTGGGATCTAGCAAAATATTTAATATTATCTTAGGGCAAAAGAAAAAGTAATTAGAGAGTTAATCAACAGAAGCTCAGAAAATCTCATTAAGAAATCTTGTAACACTTTTAGATATATCCAGCATGACTGGTTAACAAAAGATACTGTAAAAGACTTAAATCACAGAGTTCAGACTGCTTGCTCTCTAAACCTGACGAAAATGAGTACTGTGTAGCACACTGCAGCCTATCCTACCCAAAATTGCCCTATCATTGTTCCAGGCATCTTACTTTTACTCATGTATCTCAGCTGAAGTTATCACTGTAAATCTGCAGTTTTCTAGTCTTCAGTTGCCCCCATTTCACAGCAAAGCTTTTTTGATAATATATTCAATTGTAGAAGTAAATTCTACTCATTACACTTATTATGAACAAGGCAAAACATTCATGCATGAAAATATTAAGCTATGAAATAAAAAATACATGATCTAACACGCTGCTGAATTTTAAATTTAATTGAAAGTGGGATGTAAGAAACTCTGTAGAAGAACACTGCCAAATATTTACTTCAATATTCTGAACTGTAAACACAGATTCCTTTAAGAAATCATATATGTATATACAGTAGTAATTATTTATAAGCAATGTACATATAAATGCTCATAAAACTCATAAATACATTATAAAACTGCACCTCTATCTTTGCTTACTCTGAAAAGCTTCGTCCTCTCAGAGACTTAAAATCCGTAAAGACTATCTCACTCACAAATACTAAATAGAATCAAATATGACCTTAAGTGATTTATCTGCAAGTAAAATGAAGTTATATTTTAAAATGTACTGGAAAATGTTTTATTCTCATCCCACTGATGAACTGCAGGAAGCATAGTCACAAAATTTTTTCAAAGCATCTTTTACTGAGGCAGTTCAGACAGATGAACTGAAAATTCTGAAAGTTTTAAGAAAAAAATTATGAAAACTTACAAGATTTTCTTAATAGTGTCCATCATGTTGGAATTATGTTGGGAACATAGCTAAACCCATTTATTTCCCTCCCTTTCCCCCTTTCTATGAAAAACAATAATGTAAGAACCATTTCCAGTACATACATCCCCATTATTGTAGTGACCTGATGACTGGGGTGCCTTTTACCCCTCCTACTTCACACACTTTGACTGGTTCCCAGTTAAACACATGAAGAAGCTCTGAGACCAGGTATAGAAACAGTGATGAAGAAATTGCTTCTTCAAGGCAAGGAGGGTGACCAATTTAATATATAACCTATAGATACCAGATAAGATAACACGACCTGTGGCTGGTCGTGCAGCTGTAATACCCTGAACATTGAGCCAAAATGCAAACACAGACCCAGCAAAGCAGCTTTTCTACCCAAACTGGTGTCTGAGCAAAGCACAGCAGAAGTGTAGCCAGACCACATTATCCCAGTGTTTACAACAGGAAATACAGTTTACATGTATAGGGACTTTCTTTTGCTTTTACTTCCAAAAGAGATTAGAAGAAATTTAGTTGGCTAAAATTGTCAAAACACCAAGTCTGACTGCTTAATTCAGTCTTCTGATAATTCCTAAAGCCAGTGGGAAGTACTGTGATACTGTGTTTAATACTTTTCCTGAACTTCACTAAATAGGGTTGGATACCTGAATTTCACTTTGGACGCAAACAATAGATGCAAGGGACTACAAAATCTCATCAGCTCTGTCAATGTCTAAGCAATGTGTCCTGAGCTAAAACCAAATTTTGGAAAACCCACTTTTATAAAAAGGAGGCAGAATTTACTGTTAAAAAAAGCCAGAATACCCAAGCTGCTCGTGAATTTGCCGTTCAATGATGCAGCAGCATCCCAGAACGCACGATCTGCTCTTCTGTTCCCATCTCTACCTTATTCCTTTCAGGACTGTTGAGTTTAATTGTTTCTCTTCAAGACTGAACTGATGAAACATAATGACAAGTCATAACAAGGAAGGAAAACAGAGCTATGTTTAACCCGCATGGTTGCTAATCTGTGCCATTAACCATACTGCTGAAAGCTTTTATTCCACTCATTTTTGTCTATGTATTTTTGACTTCATATGAAAGGGAAAAAACACAGAGTAGCAAAGCAGAAGAATCCTTTCCTAGTTCATTCAAACATACACATTCTTCTCCAATTTAATATGTTTTAATTAACTACATCCTGGGTTTCACATCCAGATTATCTCCACCTTGTTCCAGTTATTCACAGGTCTTGACTACATCAAGCCTGTGTAAACCGTCTCAGGCTTTTAAATCTAACTGGATGCATTTCAACCAGCAAAGGCTATTACATTTACATCCATAGCATTTGAAGAGAAAAAAAAGGTTCAAAATAAACATTATGCAAAAAAACAAAATAAAAAAAATCAAACAGCATATTTGGTATAAAATTTGGAAAACAGCATTTACTCAAAGTATTTCAGAGACTAAAAACCTTAAATGCCTCCAACAACATTACAATTTCAAAACAGGAAAAGGCATCTTGAACTATATTCTGTGCATCTTCAGAGGAGAATTTCAATGAAAGAAGGAAATAGGATCCCAGTTTAGCTGATAATTCAATCAATTACTTTGCATGCAATTTCTGGAAGCTGATCCCAATAGAGAAAAAGTAAATCTAAAGTCTTCAAGCTAATGACAAAAAAAAAATTACTCCGCTAATATTAAAATACTTCTCAGTATCTTCTTCATCAAAAAATTCTAAACCTTTTGTAAATTTCAATTATCAACTGCATTACTATCTGATAGGGAATTTTGCAGGGTTTCTTTATTTTAATTAGGAAACTGATAAGAGAGAAACAGATCTTTTTTGATTATCTGTGCATAGAAAGCCAAGTTTTCCATATGTTCCAGCTCTGTTTAATATATTCCTACAACTGTGAATGCTAAGCAAAATCTCAGGAATCACTGCTCTTTGCATGAAATATAATTTAAAATACCATGATTTTAAAATAATAATAATACTGAAAACTATGTGGGAATGAATATTCTCACATGCATTAAGAAAGCTGCAGCTTCGCACTGAGGCTGCCGGTGTCTGAAAGCCCCAAACCCTGCAGGATTGCACTTCACCACTTACAAGGTCTGTAGGCAGCAAAATGCATTGATCTGTTTAATTAGCTGTCTCAAATGAACTATTAATAGCCAACATTGTTTAAATCAACTACACCGATTGAGTAAGATCAAAATGTTCGAGTTTGTTAGGAGAATTATCCAAGTATCTGATGGTTAAACAAACTGGGAGAGAAGAGAAAAAAATCCCATCTCATTAGGGGCACTAAGATTTTATCAAACTTACAGGATTAATCTCTTTTGAATAGGACCATTCACAAATCAAAACTCACTCCACTTCAATACTTTCATGCAGTGCTAATCAATTACAACCCTTTCTAGTTATTCAAAATCCATGTGCTTTTAATTTTATTCACTGGTGGTCTAAAATATAATATTCAGTCCAAGCTAAGTCATTCTGTATTGCAACTTTGCTTTTTTTCAATAAATATTCATCTAGAGGTTTTCTTAGAGAGAACTGCTCATATGAAGACTGTGGTAATATTTTTATACTGTACCTCCTTGTTGAAGCAAAAGGTTAGGGGTTACCTAAATACCTCAACTGTATATACAAAAAAAGGAAAAGGTAAGTATTCACATGAAAAATCCAAAGGGACTATATTATTTATTTTTGCATTTCCTATGATTAATGATGCACCAGTGCATACTTGAAAACTGAAGTCAAAATAGGGTAACACCTCAAATTCCTTTACAAACTGTACAAATATCAAACTTCCATGCTGTATTAACTACTCTACCAGAAATATTTAAAGGTTCTGCCACCCCACATTAAGAGTATAACAATAATACTAAAATTCCTCTCAAGCTGTGTGATTTCTTGGTCATGGTCAGACTAATATGAATCTTAAAATTGCAAGTTATACCTTTATTCTCCCAATTGCTTTCAGAAGAGAGTAGTACTTATTTAACGAGTAACAAGAAGCTCAGAGCAGCCATAAGTAAATAACAAACATCTAACACTGCATCCACTTGAGTAAAAAAGGGAAAAATAAAGAAGCTAACAATTCTGGCATGAGATTCTAACTAGGCAGTGCAGACGGTTCAAGAGAGACAGATAATAACTGTGTTTACAGACTGTCACACCTTCTGGCAGCCACCATCAATGAACAACATTAATAACAAGAAATACTTTCTAAAACTCAAACTTAATGCAAAAAGCTGAAGGTATGAGCAGAATCTGGCATTATTTTACGCTCGAGTCCAGCACACTTCTGTGGAAACTGAAGCAAAGAGTGAAGGGAGGAATTATCCTGTGCTTGCCAAGCTGCAAAGGTGCTGAGCACCAGCATTTCTCCTGCTTGAAAACAACAGGAGCCAAGGGCAGATGTTAGTGCTTGGCACCTCCAGAAAATCCGACCAGCTGCATGTTTCCCTCTATGTACCCAATAAAAATCAACATTGTGTGTTGTAGGTGAAAGAGTTGGTTCTGAAAACTCATTAAATACACTCCATTAATAAGAATTACAATAAATTGCCATGTTTAATGTGCCCTAGAGTATATAATATTTTAATTAAGGCAGCCTCAAGATAAATAGTGAGTTTAAGTTGGTAAAACCTTAGGCATTTTAGGGTCTTAACTTCAGCACTGGGAGAATCCAAGTTT